CAACGGCGGCGGCGCCGAGCGCGGGACCAAGGCCCGAGCAGCCGAGGCTAGAACGCCGCCAGGCAGCGCCAGTCGAGCGACGAGGTCTTTCACCGCCTCCCGAAGGCGACGGAGGGCAGGCGAGAGCAGTCGAGCCCCGAGAACTGCGGGGCAGCGCCCCAGCCCAGAATTTAAAAACTGCGTAATATAGCTTAGGGCGATGTGGGATTCTGGAAAAACGCTCTTAACAGAATGAATGTAAACTAATACGCACAATAGTCGGACTGTATAAAACAGATTGGAAGTTACTGTTCTAAACTTCCAAGATAAGGGCCTTCCAGACTTAAAAGGAGAAATGGGTGTTAATGAACTGAACTTTAGGGGAATATGTAGCAGGTGGATCGGGATCTACCTTCCCAATACCTCAGCAAATGGCGAAAGGAAGTGGGCAAGGTGCAGTCGGGAGTTTAGGATAAAAGGAGGCTTTGTCCTTTCCATGGGTATGGCCCAGTGAACTCTCTCCCTTTATTCATAAACCAAATCACAAATCTCAAAACAATTTGCAGAAAATATATTTTTTTTTCAATTTGTTTTTCAGCCTGGAAAAGAGAATGCTTCTGCATGACCTAAGGGCTGCCTTCAGGTACTCGAGGGGAACTTAGAGGAACTAGAGCAAGACTATTTACTAGAGTGTGTAGTGACAGGACAAAGGGGAAGGGCTTTAAATTGAAAGAGAGTAGGTTTAGATTAGATAGAAGAGAAAATTCTTTACTGTGAGGGTGGTGAGACACAGGAGCAAGTTGTCCAGAGAAGCTGTGAACACCCCATCCCTGAAATGTTCAAGGCCAGGTTGGATGGAGGGAGTTCTGAGCAACGTGGTTCCATGAGGGAAAAAAGCCTTTTCTGAGGGAAAACAAAAAAGTTTGGGTGAATTGTTTTGAAGGAAGATGCTTAGGAGTATGTGGTGGAAACTGCTCCCTACATTTCCTGAGCGAAGAGAAGGGTACTGACATCTGACTCAGGCAAGAATAGTGTTCAGTGGGTTGGTTTTGTCTGGTGTGGCCGGGCGCAGGTTTTGCCCAAACTGACAAGCAGTGAGATCGGTTTTGAAATTAAGTTCCACCACAGGTGACAGTGGCTGAAAGAAGACAAAACTGAGCAGGAAACGTGTTCCAGGAAGTGAACACTGAGTTTGTTCTGGCCTCAGCACATGCTGGGAAGAGCTATTCATAGCGTAAATTGAGAAACTCCAGCTTGTCATTAAGTGACAATGTTTGTACCTTGTACCACATGTCCAAGTCTCACTTGACCTTACCACCACCCACACAGCTCGTTCAGTGTCTGCTGGTGTTTTGGTCTAGTGAACAGTATTTTTAGCACAGACCATCAGATGTGATTATGAGCCATCAGGCACCATAAACGGCAGCAACCCTTACCTTAAAAATGTTTTTTTTTCAGAAAACAATGCTTGTCTGCTTTTTCCTAGGTAAAAGGATCAGGAGTTTTGCTGCAGTGACCAATAGTAGTTCTTGTATAATACCTTGTGTAAAGAATACGGAATTACATCTGAGATCTTTGTACATAACATTTTACAGCTCTCATTGAGGCTTCTGAAAACATCTTGTTTACATGTCATCAAGCACGCTTGGTTTTCTGTGAGCTACTAAGTTCTTACTGCCACTGCAAACCTGGCAGAGTGTATCTAACCCTGCATCTCCACCCTGCACTGCAAAACGTGTCCCAGACATTTGTATTCATCAAATGTGGGGCATGATCCAGGCTCACTTCCTCTGAAAGGACAGACCCACAATGTCAGGCAGTTGTACTGCTGCTTTTAGTCAGTTTTGTAGTTTTCTGCATTCCCTACCACTTTTGTTACATTTACTGCCCAGTAAAAAATAAAATCTAAGAAACAAAATTTCTTAGACTGCTGTCATGAGATCCTTGGAAACACTTGTGCCTTTTAGAAAGAGAACATTTCCAGGAAACTGCCCAGCCTGGTGCCAGCAACAACTGCGTGCATCAGTCATCCTGTTCCACTGAAGAAGCAGACTGCCAGCAGTGCTAGAGCAGCCTTTCCACACCTCTGCTTTGATCTAAATGGAGAGCTTTTGCAATTGGTTCGATTTCTGTGACCCAGTCAGTCCTTGGCGTTTCTTTTACAGCAGCCAACAAGATGACCAGTTTCCTGCTGCAGGAGAAAACCAGCCTCAGCTCCACTAGCCTATTTCCTGATATCTGTTAAGCACCCGACACAGTCACCACAGCAGAACATCTTCTCCAGCCTGTTTGGGAAAGAAGGAATGTTCAACCCTTCTAGATATGTGCAAGCACTAGTGTGTGTCCAGCAAAATGCCAGACCCCTCTCAGGACACAGCTGCCAGCTTTCAGATAAATCACTGGGGTTTGTGACATGTGCAAAACGGCAAAATAATGTTGAGCAAGACTTTATATCTACAAACAAAAATGTAAATGTTTGCTTTGCTGCTCATGAATTCATAGTAGAAAGGAGCTCATGTGGAAATTTAATTTGTGCAAAACACTGTTTAAAAAAATCAATCGTGTTTTGAATTACACAGTGGAAAAGAATCGTTGCTTTGTAAAACAGCATAAGGTTGACAGATTTTCCATCACTATAGAAGACAATTCCCCTAATCTTCCCACTGTTGTCACATTAGTCATTGTTCTCTAAGTCAAGTGAAAGGGGTGTCTCTAAGCATCATGACAACAACAATGTACCAATTAAATTGAATCTCTGGAGAGATTGAGAGAAGTTCAGAAATTTGCCTGAAATGAAGAGAATAAATTCCTTCTCATCTCACATCTCCTTAAGTCTCTACAGGCTAAAAGAAGAGGAAGGGGCATTTTTGCTCCAGATAACTTTTCACATGAACTGTTAGAAGCCTTCTATCTGTCACAACATTAGCTAAAATGAGTAAGTAAAAGTTCCTGACGGACACGACAGGCTTCTGAGTCCACCGATTCCATTTGCTCATATTCTTCTTCCGATTGTTCCATGTGCCCTGTGGCTGGTGCAGACCACACATCCAGTCCATGTTGCAGGGAGATGTTATGAAGCACACAGCAGGCCAGAATGATGTGGCTGGACTTCTCTGGAGAATACTGCAGGGTGCCTTTGGAGCCATCGAGGCAGCGAAACCGCGACCGGATGGTTCTGAAGGTGCGCTCAATGACGTTGTGAGTGGCGGAATGGGCCATGTTGTAGCGGTACTCTGCAGGCGTCTCGGGGATGTGCAGAGGGGTCATCAACCACGTCCGGAGCAAGAAGGAGCTGTCACCTGTTAGCAGTGGAAAGGAGCAGGACAGGTTACACACCTACAGTTAGCCACAGATTTCAGACTGGTTTTCTGGTACAGCAGATACGGAATAAATTCTTCCTCTGGCTAAAAGAGAAGGCACGGAAGAAGTAACTCTGGTTTACGAATGTGGCAAAGTAAAGGCATTCAGTTTTACACAAGAAAATCCTGAAAGATTTTCCACAGAAGAGTTTTAAGAGAATTAATCTACTGCATAAAACAGGGGGAAGCAGTAGGACTAGCACAGTACCTAGAATTAAAAATTGCATAATTCAGCATGGAAAGGTGTAGAATACTGAAAGAAAGCTATTAACAGAATGAATAAGGATTAATACATACAATAATCAGACTGTTATAAATGCAAAGGCAATTTCGGGTTATATAAAAGAGAAAATTTATTATCAAACAATAATAAATTCGAACAAAGAGAAAAAACCACAATAAAATAAGCAGCGCAGCGCTGGGTGGACAGGGTCTATACGCAAGGTATAGATGCTCCCAAATCCACGCCTGAGAGTCCTTTGGCCTGGGTTTTTATAGGAAGTTTGTGTCCCGAGGCCAAATTCCAAGCAGGCACCCTTTGCTAAGAGGTTCTTGATTGTTCGAAGAATAGATTTCCTGGCACTGGAGAATAGAGTCAATAGACGTTGGGCAGAGGCTCCTCATATGTAAAGAGGTCCAGGATGTCTTTTTGATATCATTTTGGTCCGGGCCATTAGGGTGGAGTAGTGGCACCCATCCTGGAGCCGATGGCTATCTCGGCTGGCTCCTCTTCCTTTGTCTAGTTTCTCTATTTCTCCAGCACAGGTGGGCAGGGCGGAGATGCTCGGGCTCGGCGATATCTCGTCCGGGCCCGTTCTTTTGTTCGTTTGATGGCCCGTGTCCTGCCCATTCTTTCGGGGCTGATGTGCCTGCTTGCGATTGTTATCTGGGTGCTTGGCTGCAATCTGTTGCTTTGGAAGAGAAATCCTGCCTCGACTTGGAGGAGGATTTCTCATTCCATATTTTCATCATTTACAATCACATATACTTTATTTAAACCTTTTCTTTCGAATTTTTATTCATCCAATTCTTTATTACAAGACTGTATAAAACACAGATTAGAAGTTACTGTTCTAAGATTCCAAGATAAGGGTTGTCCAAACCTAATCATAAATCTCAAATCAATTTGCAGGAAAGCAACCGAAAGTAAACATATCACTTGTGCCGAGGTTCTCACTCAGTAAGGAGACGATATACGATAGAGTTTCTGCTGAAAACAAGGATGAAAAATTGACTTACCAAGTAGCCAGCCATCTTTATGTAGCTCAGTTTCAAACTGGCTTGTGAGGGCTGCCTGCTCCAACACCGCGCAGTCCGGCAGGCTCCCTGGCCAGTGCGTTTCAGCACTAAGGAGGACTCCTCTGGAATCACACACCATGAGGCAGTTCAGGGAATGGAGACCCTTTCGGTTCACATAGGACAGGTCCTCGGCGTTTGGTGCTTTGATTGCCACGTGGGTGCAGTCCACCACCCCCAGCACTCCCGGCATTCCTGCCAGCCCATAAAAGTCCTCCTTCAGGGTCTGAACAGTAGCTTCATCTTTAGGAAAGTGAATGAACTGTGAGGCTCTTTCCACCAGTGCCTCGGTTACGTTGGCAACACAGCGGCTCATCGAGGCTTGGCTAATGCCGATAGCATCCCCCATGCGAGTCTGGAAGGAGCCAGAGGTATAGAAACCCAAGGCAGCAAGTATTTGCGTCTCTGGACTGATGGCTCTGGACCGCTGTGTAGGACGTGAGAGAGTGGCTCCCAGGAGATCCACTAGGTAGCAAATGAA